ATTGAACTTTAAAAAAAAAAAAATTCAATACATTAAACGCACTACAGAATTTTGATGTTGTAATTATCATCCAAGAAAGCAAAATGATAATGGATTGAAGTTAAGGAGAATTGTTGAGACAGTAGTAACGAAACTGCATTGCATTTTGTTATTGGTAGACTTGTGAGCCGGTTGCTTCAATATGCTCTTGTAAATGAAGTTTTGGCAATTCCCTATGATGAAACGATCATTAAACGCACCTTGGAAGGCAAACTCTATCTGGTATGTATGATTAAACTTGCCAATTCTTGTTTCGTCCAAACGAAATTGGTTTTGATGGAGATCCGAATACGTATTAAGGTTACGGAATACAGCATTAGTATCTTGTTCTGCATGCTATAAGTTCCAGATTTGTGTTTACAAGAATGATGTTATATTCCTGTTCTTGGCACAATTCTTGTAAAAATCATGTTTATTTATCGGAGCGGAAGCAGCATGCGAGAGAGGTCAAAAGATTCGAGGAGCTGATGATTTATAAGGGTTCTGTAGATATTGGTGTCTGAAAGAAGCTTATGTCAAAGCAATTGGGAGTGGAGTGGCATATGGTTTGGACACAATGGAATTTCATCACAGTTGCTGAACAAACATCTCTGTTAATGTTGAAGGGAAGGCTATGAAAGAATGGCGCTTTTGGCTTAGGAAAGGGACATTTGGAAAGTTCCTTGTTAATTTTATTTCTTTGTTTTCATTGAGATGCCATTTTTGGTTTTCAAGGTTACATAGTTTTCCATAAAATCGCAGGTCTCTATTGCAAGGGGTCATCCAAGATCAGCTACTGAGAGTTACATGAGAACATTAAAACAGGCCGATTTTGATGAAGAGGAGTATCACGCAGCTCTTCATCTTCCAAATGTCAGATTTGTCTCAAAAATTGTAGAACTCCTCATTCCAGTTTCACACAAAGACCGTGTACATCGTACTTGGATTTCGTGACACCATTGAAGCACCGAAGAAACCATTCACTTCAGCTTTTTGCAGGAGAAACTAAAATTAAACTGTAGCAGTACCATATTTCAAGTTTGTCATCCCTCCAGCAGAGGGTCGTTCCAGTTCCGTCAGCATTACTAAGTTTATATTGGGCAAGTGTGGTAGGATGGATCTGGATGACTAGGGCACTGTCATATTATTGATGAAGATGTAAGCTTGGCTTTTGTTGTATACTCGTAATTCCAGGTTGACAAAAATCAGTTTTATGTACATATGCTTTGGGTAAATTGACTGAAGCAATCTTTTGTTCCTTGAGGGGGAGCTTCTGGATTTGCTGCCTTGAGGATGAAGTAAAATGCAGTCAAGATGCATAAATGATGAAATCTGGATATTTTTGACATCTCTGCTAATTCTTTAATTTATTCATGGGTTCATCTGCTCAAATTTTTTTATTGTCCGTAGGGTGCTATGTTTCGGATGGCGTAGGGGTTTGGATAGATCCTTTCAGATATCACTAAGAAATCAAATTGTAGAGAGGCTAGAAGATTGTCACTTTGCCTTTGATCCACTATAAAACTGTGGAGAAGCAAAATCTTTATAAATTTAAACTGGTTCTCTTTTCATTTTACAATACATTCCATGAAAATCCAAGTATCAACCAATCTGCTGGAGGCAGCCAATTTAAGAACACGAAAAATGTATAGTGTACTGCTAGAGGCAGCCAACCTAAAACCGTGAAGAAATTCCACATCCAATGAAGCAATCTTTTAATGGAATGAGAAACAATCTGAGATCTAAAAAGCTAACGAAAACAAAAGAATATTTTCTGATTATCCACATGAAACCAAAAAAAGAAGTCAAGATACTAATCAACATGTACATGTAACATGATCCTTAGACGACCTAGTCCTAGATAATGATACGAGATATAACTACCAAATCTTGTTTTCAAGGAAATCTACTGTCCCACCATTGAATGTTCTTCCAAGCATATTAAGCGTTTGGAGCAAGGGTCAAGCACGAGGGACTGCTGCCAACAAATTATACTGCACGAATTTCTCATGGTTATTTCGGTCATCATACAGTAGGCAACCGCAGAAACCCACAAATATTTAATTACTAAATTAAAAATGACAATTAAACACAAAATAGGTATCAAAGAACATACCAGTGAAAGGAAACTGTGTTTGTCACTTTGTGAAGCTCCTCCATATCTTATTCATTCATTGGTGGTTTGCACACTTCATAACAAGTTTCAGATTCAGCAAGACATCTAAAAGCATGGAATTCCTGAAGTCCATGATGAAGATCTAGAAAAACTTACATGTTTGATATAAGGTACATACTTAAAGGTACATTCTCGGAACTATTATTCGGGTCTATCATTTTATCTTGTGAGCAAAGTCACAAAAAGCATATTGCAACTTTTTTATGATGTGCTACCCGGTTGAAAGCACAACACAAATATCCAGGTGGAAGCAAATTCAAGCCCATCGAAGCTGGGTTCCAGCTCTGACACACCCTTTACAAATCCTATTTTGAGAACGCAGGAAGATGGATCATCACTTACGCATTTAAATGCACAAAGAATGAAAAAACTGTTCTTCGGGTTCTATTCACTTACCTTTCATCCTTGACTAACACTCTCTCATCACTTCTTTTATTAAAACCCTACAATCCATATTTATCCCATCCCTAACTCTAGAAGCCAACATCATCTTACCCAGTTGCTGCACCAGAAAACTCGTGGACCTCCCCTCATGCTAAGTTTTAAGCCATTAAAACTTCTGGAAACATTTTCCATTTTACAACTTGCTACGCGTAGTCCTTAAAACTACTCAGAATATGAATCTTACACTCTAACACTCCCACAGAACTTCAGAGCTCTCCTACATCAATCATCACACTACATACCTACCTCAGGTTTGCACAAAACAGTCATAGTTCACCTACAGCCATATAACGCAAAGCATAATTTGCATTTAAACCACCATTTCAGACTCCCACTGCAAGTACTTAAATCAGTAAAACCTCTCTTGTTATCTCCAAACGCATAGCACTATAGTATCTATGGCGAAAAAAGAATCAGAAAACTAAATCCAAAGTACATGACATTGCATATAGACAATATGTAGTTTAAAGACTTAAAAAGAACAAGAAAATATATTGGAGGGCATACAAGATGTCCAGAACAAAAAGTTGACCTTCAGAGAAAAGACAGGAGCAACAAGGAAGGAGGGGAGGACGACATCAGTCAGTGACCTAGGTTTGCATGTTTTGCCTACTTTTCTGGCAGAATTGTCAAACTGGATGAATTCAAAATTATTAGAAAAGGTAAGGGTAATCACAGGGATCAAAGAAAATCTTAAGTGTAAAGTGCAGGGCCGGAAAAAATGCAATCAAGCCTCTATATGGATTTATAAGCAAATATTGTTTCAACTTTTAAGGAAGGAATGACAAAGACAGTTCAGGAAAGGAAAGAATAATCATAGAACAATGCAAAGAGAAACAATTTCCAATGTAATAAACGCAAGAAGAACAATGGTTTCTCACTATTGAATGAATCTACTTTTATTTAAATAGATTAATAATTCTATAAACAAGCTAATGAGTAATGATCCTCAACAGGAAGTGAATAATCAAAGTATCATAACCATAAAATAAAAACAAAACTAGTCATGCAAATAAGAAAGAATATATAGTAGGAGCCCCAGAACAATTCCAACTTCCTGATCTGTATAACTATTCCAACCAGGTTATAGGGCAAGGAGAGTAAGCATATTCCGTAGCTATTACACAACACCTGCTTAGCATCTTACAGTAAAAATGAAGAACCTGGCACAAAAACTTGCGATCTATATTCAGGACGAGCATCTCCCAAAAATCCGACCTGCAACAGCAGAGCACAAAAAAGAAGTTCAGTAAAGAAACCACCAAAAGCTAATGAAACAAATTATTAAAAAAGATGTGATCAAGTTTGAAGTGGATGTTCGTAGAATCAAGTTTCTAAACAGAATGAAATAGTCACGAAATTACATAATTAGAACCCTCTTACCTATAAATGCAGAGGTCTTGACTGTAACAGCTCCCGAAACAGAAATAAACCAGAAAAACTTCCCATTTTCTAGTAGCAAAACAAATACCAAGTAACGTTAAGCCCAAGAGCAAAAGTTGTTAGGAGATAAGCTCATAAACAACTTGACAGCAACAATAAACAACTTGACAACAACAATCAAGACTCCCTATCAGGTGTAGACCCACTCTAGTTAACCAAATAGATAACCCACTCGTCAAACACACTGACACAAAACATACTCATTAGTGCACATCTGCAGAATAACTGTGACACAGAGTATCTCAAAGTCATTTAAAATTGGAAGGAAAGTAGCTATCACCTCAGTAAGCACTTAAATATATTCTTAATAGAAGAAGTCATAAATGCTAGAGAAAACAGAAATGAAAGAAACAAACTACGGTTCAAAAGAAAACTGTTATTTGTTATGACAGGAGAATTTATCAGCATGGCATAAACAATTGGGATTTGTTTTTGTTTTCCTTTTTTTTATATAACTTCTTTAGATAAGTATACAAAAAAATGGCCATAATTACATGTGCCTGTTTGCCAGAGCCATAACTTATATTAGCAGGTTGCCCTCTGACAATAACACCATCAATCTTGTCTAAATGTCAAACAATCCAAGGAAATATACAGTGTGCTGTTCTCACAGAAGCATATTTAAATCCGAGAGGTCATCCATAGGTATGTCAAGCCCCTCCGCGATATGGTCTTGCAAACCATCCTCATCAAAGTTCAACCAAGTACTCAGATCTTGATTCCCATCGAGGTCATTGTCTACTCCTAGTTCTATGGGGTCTAATTCATTCAACTGCAAGTTTGCACTATCTATCTGTTTCTTGGTCTCTGTAGGACCCTCATGATTGTCATTATAGCGTACTGGCCCAACCTCTCGTTTTCTGTTATTACTATTGCCAACAACTTCAATAAAACCACTAGCTGAAGCGACATTGCTAACCAACCCATTTCCTGAAGTTGAGAGCTGAGCTGTCTTCTGCTTGGGCTTTGTTTTCGTTTTACGTTCACCCTTACTGTTACCCAATGATTGGCGGCCAGCTTTGGCAACAGAATTTCTGGCTGATACATCTTTGTCCCTTTCTCTCTCACTTCTTTTCCCTTTTGCTCGGCCCAGCATAGTACCAGGATTTGATGCAGCTTTCAAGGAAGGACTGCCAACATCATCTAGCAGAACTTCCTTCTTTTTCCCTCTGTAAAATAATGGTCCATTTTTAGCAAAGTCCTTCGTAGAGCGATGGGTAAGACTTCCAAAAGTACCATCAGAATCTCTGCCATACTTGTTAAGATGATCATGCTGCTCCGCCCAATTGGAAGAACCTGTGAGCCAAAAAAAAAAGGCATTTACTGAAACCAGGTCACCCTAGATTAAGTTTCTGTGAAAAAATATCTTTAAATAATTAGGGACATTTGGAAAAAAAAATCCACATCATGGGAAAGCAGAAAACCAGTGCATAGGTTTTGTCTGATAGAAGAAAACCAGTGCATAGGTTTTGTCTGATATATATGCCTTTGACTGAACACCTGCTTTCAATATCTTGCAAAATATGCATATTGTAGCACATAAATTTCCTAATGTACACACACAAACACAGAGTAAAGTATGCTAAAACTACAAATACATTCATCAAAAGCACAAAAATATAAATAATTAAAGGCCAACCTGACACCACGGGCTCTTGGTGAGAGTTTTGATTTTCAGGTGGCAAACTTAAGCCATTGCATTTCATGGGTTCCACATTGCCTCCGTGAAGCGGTGCAGCGAAAATGACATCTCGAAGTGCAGGCTCATTAAAGCAACTTATTCCATTTTCTTCATATTTGCGACATCTAGCAAGAGTCCTCTTCATATAAGCAACAGCAACATGTTTGGGAACCTTAGCAATCTTATATCGAGTGGCCTACAGAAACCAGAAAATGGGACCTTTTATTGTCTCCGTAACACTTCATATGCTACAATTAAAATTCAGCAAAATGTGCATATTGAGGCATTTTAAATTAATATATATAATTTGTGGGTAATTCAATCAAGATGTAAGTAATAGATTTGGGAACATGCAAGTTTGAATTCCATCCCATATGATACACTGTAATACATGACAGATAGCTTCTAATATTGGAGGAATAAACAGTGGGAAAATAAGCAATTGCAAAAAGTACCAGAAGCTTTCTGTAAGCCGACTCGACAAGCTGGTCCATGGCAACCTGGTCACGCCGCCTGCAATTCAACAACATAAGATTGAACTTCCACAGAATCTAAGAATTGATATTGTGTTGATGTTCCGAATGAAAAATGTTATACTACAAACTTCCAAAACACATTTGAATATCCTACCGTCTTTCAATGTCCATGCTTTCTTCAATTGCTTTAATAAATTTGTTCAACTGCTTCTTCTTCCCATCAACCTACAGTGTCCGAAGAATCAGAAAAATCAAACTATGAGACAAAAATAGGAAAAGATGTAGAAATGACTCAGAATTTACCAATTGCAAGATAATAATTGTGTAAACAAAGTATTGAGAAGAAATAACTCTGTACAAGTTCAGTTTAACAATGCGGAAACTCAATTATGTTCATACAAAGTGAAATCTAAGGACCGTAACCTGTTGGTGAAGTAGCTTCTGTAGTCCAACAATATCTTGATCAATTGCTTCATCATCTCCATCTGATAGATCAGGCTGAGACAAGGGAAACGGTAAGGGTGTTAGATTAATGTAAGAAAGGTGTTGAGAGAGGCAACTGAGAGAGCGAGAGAGCTGTCATTCAAAGTAGTTCCCCAGTTCCCAATTCTGCAGTGGAAGTCATGCAAATTTCTAGCAGAAAAAAGGACTGACCCAGAAAAACTGAGTAAAGTGAAACTATACGGTCGCAGAGCCAAGCAATTATACATCATCACTTAAATAAGTTAATAGCTTACCACTGTTTCTTGATATAGGCCAACACTTTGCAGCTCCAACAAGAGTCTATCCTCCAGAGACATCTGCTCATATGGGCAACCATTTTCAGAAAACGCAGGGAACAGCCCACTCCCTGAATGCAATACTGCAAAATCTACTTTCGACAAATCATCTGCAAGTATTTGATTACAGATTCCTGTGGCATTAGCAAAGCCACTAGTCCCATTGCAGGGGAGACTGTCAACGGAACATTGATTGAGAGTCTGAGGACCCAAATTGGTTTCGTTTGCAAACTGAATCCCGACCCTGTTCCTTGGCTCAACATTAGTGGAAGAAACATCTCTGTTATATTGTAAAGACATAGTTCTCCAGTCAATGTCTTTTTCAAAATCTTCAATTTCATCTTCCATGATTAGAGCTGACAATACTCTTTGGTACAGTGGAGGCACTTTCTTCATTCCTTCGGAGTCTAATCTTCCACGTGATATACCTCCATTTTGAATATGGTCTTGCAAGTTCCTCTCTTTTGATCCAGAAGCAAGAGTCTTGGACGCAAAATTTTCTTCATGCACAATATCACCCTGAGAAAACAAGATAACTTCATAAGTAACAAGATGTCTGGCATCCTACTCAGCAGGATGTTTGTCTTCATCAGGAACACCTAATAGTAAAGTAGAAGTTAAGCACCATGAGCTGATTAGAATAATTTTAAATATCAGCAAGATTCAACCCATAGAATGTCTTCGGTTTTTTTTTCCTTTAGATGACAAGTTGAATTGATGTATGTCCTTGCAAGCAAACTATCATTTTCAAAATTCATACCACCACTCATCTAATCATTCTTTATGTGTTACTAACCTAACTGCAGGATACTGCACGCAAAGTTTGGTAACATAGGAGTTGGAAAATGTGTTATTAAACATTTGAAAACCATTATGAATGCATAAAAGCATAGCATAAATACACGTCTGGAGTGGCACACTTTGGGATGAGATAAAAGGGTCAAAATTCAAGTATTCCATCAAATTAAATATGACACTGGATTAAAAACTACCAAGATTAAGGAGTAAAGAAGATGGAAGAGAGTGCAAAATTAGAAATCATATCATGCTATCAAAAAACATAATTGGCTATTAGACATTACCGAAACATTACTTCCATTGCCAAACATCAGAGATATGCATTCATCATTCTCCTCCATACATATGAGCTGATTCAAACGGAAACATAAAAATATAGAAAGATTTTGTCAGGGACCATATCAATCTAATAAAATAGATTTTTTTTTAGTGAGAAGTAGTTATAAATTTTAGCAACTACCTGCTCCTTCAAGTAAGATGCCTCCTCTAAACTGACAGGACCAAAGATTGGTTCCATTTTCTTCCAAAATGAACTAGAACAAGCAAAATCTACAAAACCAACCAAACAGTACCATGGTGAAAAATATGTATATGAAAATAACACATTCATAATAATGCAAATATGCGTTCATATAATACATAAAGTATATATTGCTAAATGAAGGAGAAAAAAAAACAATATTGGTCTTAGAAACATACTTCTGGAATTACAAGCAAAAGCTGCAGCTGCTAAAAGTTCTTCACGGTCATCACCCGATTCACCTGAAACATGAAATGCAATAGCATATCATTGCAACCCAGTAATTTCAAAGAGCCAAACCCTGATATGCAGTATGCATTTTAGTCTATTTTCTATAGGAAAAAATCTGAAGAAATGAAAACAATATATCTCAGTCACCATAGAAGATTCGAAATCATATAATGGAAATCAGGTTTCTCATCATTGACTGAGTTTACACATGCATACCAATGAAAGTTAATTCTTTTTGGCAGATGACATAAAAATATACAGGAATGTATTTAACCAAATACCCAAACCCTAATACTATTTGATGTCTGAGAAATTTAGAAGAGAATAACTTTTATTACTGGCATGCGATGAAGACCAAAACTTATCAAATCTTGCAAAATTCTTTAAAGAACACATCCAGGCAGAGTTTTTGCAAGTTCTGATATCTAGGAAGCCCAAACATCCTAAAACAAGAGTCATAATTCTAAATTTTAGTTTGCACTCCCAAAAATAACCTCTAAGTATAATAATTTCTTTTAGCAACCTTTTGGTATCATTAGAGCAGCTCCAGCGAGGAGCTGGGACACGGGCTAGGGGGGGAAAAAAGAAAAAATGGTGTTCCAGCGGTGAGCCCAGGCCCGGGCAAGGTGCGGGTCCCAGCAAGTCGGGCTGGCCCGAAGGCCAGTTCAGCCTGAGGTCCAAAACGAGGGCTGCTGACGTCAGCAACAATTTTTTTTAAAAAAAAATCGGAAAAAATCGAAAACAAAACAAAAAAATTCAGATTTTTAAAAAATAAATACTTAGTCATATTTTTCACTTCCCACACCAAAAATCTTATCCGAAAATATTCTCCAAATTAATTATTGAGGTAAAAAAATTTATAAAAAAACAAAAAAATGAATAGTAATTGCCCTTAGCCATGGCAACGGGTGGAAACACAAAATATACTATTTGCAAGGGCAACCACTATTCACATGAATAGTGGCTGCCCTAGCCC